TTGCATGTAATTTTTTTTTATAAATCTAGGAAATATCACGAACCAAATTTTCATCATCCTAGGTCAGTGCTTATGTGGAGCCTTAACCTCATCCCAAATTCTTAAACCTCACCTACAATCTCGCTCCCTAACCTTACTTACATCTCAGTGACCATGACCAAAAATGAGTTGGCCTTAACAAATAGATCTAGTCAACTGTAGCTTTGTCTTCGCTACAAATATCTACCCACAGTTCCGGGTTAGATCTAATTGCCAAGTCGCCCGCCCAGCCGCCCCTGATCAGCTACACAAAAAATTGTCCCGGTCGTGTGCTTTATCCTTTATTATCAGATGGTGGGATGGGACGAGCATTTAAAGCGCGAAATAATGATGTAAATGTGATATTGAATCACACTGTGATCCTATTAATTACTAATAAAAAATTACGTCTAACGGACAGTTGGATTTCTCTCTTTAACATGCTCAGTGTGTATGTATGCCGGTATATGGCATCATGCATTGTCAACTGTCAAATGTCCTTAACCATATTCTTGAAGCAATGGCCAGAGATTTTCCTCTCTGACCATTGCTGGGTTGACTTCTGATACTTGAGCTTTTGAGGGACTGTGTCTATTCCTCCCGTTCAATCAAATCTCTCTTGAGTACAGCAACATGATAGCCCTTCTTTTAATCTGGTGTCTTCCCTAAAACTTTGGACAGTGATTTAAGGTATTAAAAACGGTGAAAGTATTGATTGTCTCCAAACATTATTGTTTACATTGTAGCCGTTTTGGATAGCCTCGTTTGTCACGCAATTAGTTTTTCTGTAATATTCTGCTACGCACTGGTTAATTGGGCGTAATAAATTTCGTGAGTTATGACGTAACTTTATCTATATATATATTTGTGACTGTCGTTTGTCTGTCTGTCTTTCTGTCTGTCTGTCTGTCTGTCTGTTCGGGGTTGGCGGCTACACTAGGTCTGCCCCGAGTCTGAAATTTGGGGTATAGGGGTAGCTCCGACCGGGGAGTAACATAGGCCAGGTGGCGTTAGTCTACCACTTCCGGTTTCGGAGTTATGACCCCCGAGCGAAGTCGGTCTGTTCGGGGTTGGCGGCTACATCTGCCCCGAGTCTGAAATTTGGGGTATAGGGGTAGCTCGGACCGGGGAGTAACATAGGCCCGGTGGCGTTAGTCTACCACTTCCGGTTTCGGAGTTATGACCCCCGAGCGAAGCCGGTCTGTTCGGGGTTGGCCGCTACACAAGGTCTGCCCCGACTCTGAAATTTGGGGTATAGGAATAGCTCGGACCGGGGAGTAACATAGGCCAGGTGGCGTTAGTCTACCACTTCCGGTTTCGGAGTTATGACCCCCGAGCGAAGTCTGTCTGTTCGGGGTTGGCGGCTACACTAGGTCTGCCCCGAGTCTAAAATTTGGGGTATAGGGGTAGCTCGGACCGGGGAGTAACATAGGCCAGGTGGCATTAGTCTACCACTTCCGGTTTCGGAGTTATGACCCCCGAGCGAAGCCGGGTATACTGCTAGTATACTAATATTTGTGACAGTCGTTTGTCTGTCTGTCTGTCTGTCTGTTTGTCTGTTCGGGGTTGGCTGCTTCACTAGGTCTGCCACGAGTCTGAAATTTGTGGTATAGGGGTAGCTCGGACCGGGGAGTAACATAGGCCAGGTGGCGTTAGTCTACCACTTCCGGTTTCGGGGTTATGACCCCCGAGCGAAGCCGGGCATTCTTCTAGTGTAAACATATTTAGAGCTCTGTTTAAACCCGAATTTTATTATTACGCGGTTAGGTATTGGTTGTTAATCGGACTATTGACCAGTCATCAATTGGAACAAAAATTTGCTTTCATTATGGCAGTGTTGAGTGGGATTAGGTCTAATCAAACGAAACATTACGAGGAGTATGGTCCTTAACAGGAACCTGGTAAACCCCCTCCTACAAAAATTCCTTGTTTGTGTTTTTGGATTGCCAAATTCTACTTGTAAATAGTGTTAGATTATTATAAATTTGTGTCGGATGTGGCAAGAAATGATTATTTTTGGCGAACAAAGAAGAAGCACGATGAAGAGTAGATGGTAAGGATTCCAAAATAGCCTTAGAACCGAGGTGAGGGAAAAGTCTCACAATAAAATTAGTTGTGTATAGGATCAACCAGTAACGGATAGAGGATAGAGTTCGATAAGAATCCGTTACTAAAGTAACTATTACAAAATGATACCCAATACCTAGTTGATAATAAATTATTTGAGATAAATATTCTAATATGCAGTGATCTGAATTTTTAAAGTAATTATCATTAGGCATCAAATTACAACTGTGATTTACCTTGTAGACACGGGTATTAATAACTTTGGCCCATCCCTTATCAATTTATGCAAATTATTTCTCTTAATCCACAAGGTCGGGGGGGGGGGGGGGGCAAACAAGGCATTTACAGTTTTGTCCAACTATGGCAAGAGTGTAAATTTCTCTGTGTTTGATAAGGATTATATCCGACAATTTTCTGACATAATTCCATTTCAGTTAAAGACTAGCTGCGTGAAAGTAAAAGGTGTTGATAGTATTAACAAATTAAGGCGTTGTGCGAGTCCGATTTTGGGGCTTTATTGGGGGGTAAAAATACTCCATGGTGGAACCATCAGTGCCAAATCCCAAGATCACTGAAATATTCATATTGGCAGTGACTCATATTGATATTTATTTAAACTTAAAATACAGATGTGACGTCATCCTTTGATGTTAGAGTACCATTATTTCAAATAATCGTACGGGCCATGTACCAAGCGTAACTTGGTAAAATATTGAACTCGAGTGACGTATTTCATTGCAAAGCACGTGCAAGTGTCTGCCACGGCCCGTCTCGCTCTCGACCATTAAACAATACTTAATGAATGATTACACCATAAAAACAGGTATTATTTTTTTGTGGCCTTTGGCGTTCTAAGGACAGATATAATTTAATATAATTACACTCTTTAATCTTTTACAGAGATAAAGCCATATGCAGTACCAGATACATGCTATGACAGATTTATTGACCCTTTGGTGTACGTATCCTGGATTGAACAGATGTGAATGAACATGCAATCTGGTTAAACTACAGATCTATATTTCGTTTTGTTTTTTTATACTTTCGATGGCCTACACTACATGAAGACCGGTTGTAGCGATAGGTCGCGTCAGAGGTCATACGACCGTCTTTTGACCCTATGACGTCAGACATTTGATTAACCAATCAGCATTGATGTTACTAGTGGATTACCCACAGTTCCGTGCAAAACACGCCTCAAGCTCGCCGTAAGACCGTTTCATTATTGGCTAATAGCTCACATCATTCAGAACACGTCAATGATAACAACTCTTCCAGATCCTAGTGTAGTAAAGAAAAGTAAAACGAAATTTTGAACAATAAAAACGACACAAAATAGGATCTGTGTTTTGATGAACATGTGATGTTAAAAAGACCAAATATTTTATCTTTGGGTGTGGGTGGTATGATACGCTCCCACATCTGATGTTACTCTGTTTAATTATTAATTACTAGCAGTATACCCGGCTTCGCTCGGGGGTCATAACTCCGAAACCGGAAGTGGTAGACTAATGCCACCTGGCCTATGTTACTCCCCGGTCCGAGCTACCCCTATACCCCAAATTTTAGACTCGGGGCAGACCTAGTGTAGCCGCCAACCCCGAACAGACAGACTTCGCTCGGGAGTCATAACTTCGAAACCGGAAGTGGTAGACTAACGCCACCTGGCCTATGTTACTCCCCGGTCCGAGCTACCCCTATACCCCAAATTTCAGACTCGGGGCAGACCTAGTGTAGCCGCCAACCCCGAACAGACCGGCTTCGCTCGGGGCAGACCTTGTGTAGCGGCCAACCCCGAACAGACCGGCTTCGCTCGGGGGTCATAACTCCGAAACCGGAAGTGGTAGACTAACGCCACCTGACCTATGTTACTCCCCGGTCCGAGCTACCCCTATACCCCAAATTTCAGACTCGGGGCAGATGTAGCCGCCAACCCCGAACAGACAGACTTCGCTCGGGGGTCATAACTCCGAAACCGGAAGTGGTAGACTAACGCCACCTGGCCTTAGTTACTTCCCGGTCGGAGCTACCCCTATACCCCAAATTTCAGACTCGGAGCAGACCTAGTGTAGCCGCCAACCCCAAACAGACCGGCTTCGCTCGGGGGTCATAACTCCGAAACCGAAAGTGGTAGACTAACGCCACCTGGCCTATGTTACTCCCCGGTCGGAGCTACCCCTATACCCCAAATTTCAGACTCGGGGCAGACCTAGTGTAGCCGCCAACCCCGAACAGACAGACAGACAGACAGACTGCAGACAAACGACAGTCACAAATATATATATATAGACTAGCGGATGACTCGGCACTGCACAGTTGAAAGTAGTATAACTCCAAAACTGGAAGCAGTAGCTCAACGTGACTTCTGTCTGCCTCAAATCTACTTTTTTTTTATTAAATCATTTCAAAAACAGTTTGAAAATTTATAATTTAAAGATACATTATGCAAGAGCTAAATCTGTCTAGTGCGGGTCTTTCTTTAGCCTGAAATGTTACCTAAATTGTTTATTAGACATTAATTAACCTATCCAGACCATAATCAACTCTCGATGTCATCGCTAACCTACAATATTTACTGGACCATATATTTATTGATTTACTGGATTGGATTACATTTTGTGAAGGTTAATTAAACGTAAAAATGGATAACCAAGACTTGTCGTACAGACTTTAGTAATCTTTAGTAATGATGATTGAGGAAGCTAGCCTAAAATTCAAAAGCTAATATCTTGGTTCAGCGCATGGAGCAATATTCAGCACATTCTATTTACGTTATCTATTTTTAACTATTATAGCAAGAACTGTCAACGCTATTTCTGATATCCCATAATACCCCTTCAGATATATGGGGGAAACTCTTCATGCATCAGCCAACAAGGTTGTAAAAATAAACAAAAGCAACAAATAACTGCAAATCGAGAGGTGGGTCTATGATCTAGGCCGTTGGTTGTAACATTTTAATCTGGGTAATATTTCAGTTCTATGAAAATGAATTGCAAACAAATCATATACTGATTGAAGACAAGGTAATGACACTTTATAGTATTCACTGATACTAAAGTGTACCTTGTCTTCATTAGCCAGTTATTACAGAGATGTGGGAGTTAAACCCCATTTCATTTCATATGACATTACAAAATTATAATCAAGGCTTCATTTTGTTCATATTTTTAATAAAGAGAGGAACAAAACACAACAATACAAATTTCAACGAACAAGTTCTAGTCTGATTCGATGACAGTATGATTAATTGGTAGCTTGAATCAATGTCGACATAAACTGATTCCTGATAATTATTTACATCATAAGAAGTATGTCCAATTTGTAAATTTTCCAAATACAAGTAGCAGTAGCACACATAAATCTTTCTTCTGACCACATAAAATGTAATGACAACCACGATTCTATCCATTATCAGATTTAGGTTAAATCAATGTTGGTGCCAACCTGCTCCAATTGTCCTTTTATATTTTAAGCAATATAATATAAGAGTTCATCTATATTTGAAGCACAATTCTGCCCATGGTACCAGAATTATTTATAACCGTATCGTGAGCTTGAGGAGCCTGGGCTAGTGTATATGTCAACCCAATATGGGGTTTAAGCCAGCCATATTTTATGCCTGCTTCGAGAGCACCGTGCATTTCTCTCCATTCACACTGTAATATAAAAAAAACATGAACGTAATCAATAAATATATGGTCCAGTTTAGAATGAAAATGTAAAGCAACCTAATGCCATTTTTTGATTGAATCATCAATGAGCTAGAGCAGCAGATCGGATTCTAATCCAGTAAATATCGTAGGTTAGCGATGACATTGATAGTTATTTATGGTCTGGATAAGTTAATTAATGTCTAATTAATAATTTAGATAACATTTCAGGCCTAAAGAAAGACCTGCACTAGGCAGATTTAGCTCTTGCATAATGTATGTTTAATTAAACATTAATTAACACCAAGACCATAATAAAATCTCGATGCCATCGGATGCCTGCAATAATAAGTGGATTCAAATATGTTACATGGTGGATGCGATAACCGTAAAAATGGGTAATCGAGACTTTGTTTATTATGGTAACAAAGGCATTAATGACCATCAAGGCTTCCCTATAATTAAATCATCGATACCTTGGCTTGGCTCAGAGTGAAGTAATTTCACTGAAATATTTTCTTTATATTACATGTATCTATTTTTTAATTATTATAATTGACAGCTCTTTATCTAATCTTAGCTAATGCCACTTTAAGTTAAACTATCCTAAAGTTATTGTTGACAAAAATTAGACTAAAATTTAATTGTATGTATAGATCTTGAGCCATTACACATCAGATCAATTCAATTCAATACTTTATTTTATCAATCAGCTTTTTCAAACATCCAGCAGCTATATTAAGATCCCTGATCTAAACCAAAGAGGTTTAGCTCCATTAAGGCCGATTTTAAAGCCATGAAAGTAAATTTCCCGCATCTAAAAGATAAATCATTATTTACCTCTGTTGTGTGTAGAAGGATAACACCAGTAACAACACATTCTTTAAACATGATTTTAATAGGAGAAATCTTTACTTCCTCTCGACATCCAATAATCTAAAATAAAAAACTTTCACATTTTCTTCATTGAAATTTAGTTTCTATTGCTGCTGTTCAGGTTTAACACAGATCATGCAGGAAAACTTGGACGGTCTATAAATTCAGTCTATTGATATCAAGAATAACCTGATGAAATAATATGTGTTGGGCAATATATTCGTGGAATAAATGTTAAACAAAATTAATCTACACACCACTCGATTCCCTTATTCGTACTGGTTAACCAAGAGTTCCTTGTAAGCGTTCACTTGAATAACAGATGCGATTTCTATGATTTTTGTGCTCACTTTTATATATACCCCAAGAGAAAGTTTTTCTGCAAGTTCAACATTTTAAAGTTATGTGGGACAAAAAGTAAATATATATATGTTTTGCACTGGTAGCTTAGGGGGAAGTAAAACTTTCAATTTGTAAACCATAATCGGCATTTAAAGATTCAGAACAGAAGATATCATCTATTTATTACCTACCCCAATTCGTCCTCGTATTTTGATCATATCCAGATCCTTATCTAGGTTAACATTAGCCAACATTTCCAGTATAATATCTATTCCTTCTGGGGCAGCATCCTGATAAAAATAAAACAATATTTTGTATGTAAATAAGTCACCTTGTATTTAAAAACAAATTTAAAACCTGTACCATGGGAGTTTTAGACACATGCATTTCTGTGTTAAATCTACTACAATAGAACATATAAATAATCCTGTCTGTTTTAAGCTCCTATCCTTGCTCTGTATTTTTCCAACATACCAAATGTTAAAAAAAATTCAACTTACGGTTATTTTTTTCATGTACCCTTCTTCCCTGTGATTGAATACAAAATCAGCCCCATTGTCTTTAGCTAGCTTCATTCCATCAGTTGTACCAGCTGTTCCAATGACCTTTAACCCTATAGATTTGGCCAACTGCACACTGGCAATTCCAACCTATAACAGTGCATAACAATACAACAATATGTGTACCTATTAAATTACCTAAATTTGATTTAAAAACAATTCCTTTCGTTACACGTTTACTATGTACAATGTATGTAAATAATTGAAAGATACTTGAGCAGTTTAGTGCACAGTGATTCTTTACATTAACAAAAGCAAAACCTACTCATCAACACTGGTAAACCCATCAGAATATGAATGATGTGAACAAGGTCAATAACTAATGGACAGAACCTGTTGACAGGCTTCTCTAAATCAGTAATTACTAGAAGATTACAGTATTCTAGAAGATTTAACAGGGGAAATAAAATTATTAGAAATCGTCAGAATTTGACAAGTTTCTTCAGCTCACTCATAATGCAAACAAATGAGATAACAAATTGTTTACAAGAAATTGTGGTTGAGGGTAAATATGAATGGCCAGATTTCAAGGAAGGTGAATAAAAAGTTTTGTAAAAATAAAATAATAAATCCTTTCATTCATATTCTTTAAATCTGCATACTTCACTTTGACCTCTATATAATATATCAAAATAAATAATACAATGTATATATAAACAAGCCAACAGTGAGGCTGATGTCCCCCGCCGAAATCCCCAAATAAATAGATGACACATATTAATTAATCGCACATCTATTTTTTTCCAAAGTATCAAGCAATCAAACTGATTATCAACTATACACTAAGTTTCATCACTCTCTATCAGATAGAATCAAAGTTATCTTGTCCCAAAGCAGGAAATTGCTTACCTCTGCTTAGCTTTAGCTTGATACGTTAATCATTGAACTCAGTCAAGATGAACATCTACATCAAGTTTAAACATTCTACCTCAATTAGAAGAAGAGTTGTTGAACTCAGTCAAGACGAACATCTACATCAAGTTTAAACATTCTACCTCAATTAGAAGAAGAGTTTGACCAATCAAAATGCTTATTGCTCGTTAGCCTAAGCAGAAAATTCTCATCATCGAACTTAGTCAAGGTATTGATGTAATGAAACTATACACCAAGTTTCATCACTCTCACTTAATTAGAACTAAAGTTATCGTGTTCCAAAGCATCAACCAATCAAATTGCTTATCTCTGCTTACCCTAAGCAGAAAATGCTGATCTTCGCACTCCATCAGGGCATTGACCTCATAAACCCCTACACCAAGTTTGAACATTCTAGCTCAATTAGAAGGAGGGTTATTGTGTTCCAAAGTCTCGGCCAATCAAATTGCTTATCGCTCTGCTTACCCTAAGCAGAAAATGCTCATCATCGAACTTAGTCAAGGTATTGATGTAATGAAACTATACACCAAGTTTCATCACTCTCACTTAATTGGAACTAAAGTTATCGTGTCCCAAAGCATCAACCAATCAAATTGCTTATCTTTGCTTACCCTAAGCAGAAAATGCTTATCTTCAAACTCCATCAAGGCATTGACCTAATAAACACCTACACCAAGTTTGAACATTCTAGCTCAATTAGTAGGAGGGTTATTGTGTTCCAAAGTCTCAGCCAATCAAATTGCTTATCGCTCTGCTTACCCTGAACAAAAAATGCTCATCATCGAACTTAGTCAAGGTATTGATGTAATGAAACTATACACCAAGTTTCATCACTCTCACTTAATTGGAATTAAAGTTATCGTGTCCCAAAGCATCAACCAATCAAATTGCTTATCTTTGCTTATCCTAAGCAGAAAATGATTATCTTCACACTCCATCAAGGCATTGATCTAATAAACACCTACACCAAGTTTGAACATTCTAGCTCAATTAGGAGGGTTATTGTGTTCCAAAGTCTCGGCCAATCAAATTGCTTATCGCTCTGCTTACCCTGAGTAGAAAATGCTCATTATCGAACTTAGTCAAGGTATTGATGTAATGAAACTATACACCAAGTTTCATCTCTCTCACTTAATTAGAACTAAAGTTATCGTGTCCCAAAGCATCAACCAATCAAATTGCTTATCTCTGCTTACCCTAAGCCGAAAATGCTCATCTTCGAACTCCATCAAGGCATTGACCCAATAAACACCTACACCAAGTTTGTACATTCTAGGTCAATTAGAAGGAGAGTTATTGTGTCCTAAAAAGTGTGACGGACAGACAGACAGACAGACAGAGACAGACAGACAGACAGACAGACGGACGAACCCATTTTAATAGTCCCCTGCTTTCTTCGAAAGGCCGGGGACAATAAAGTGATACTTACAGCCCCACTGGCACCATGTACCAATACTGTCTCTCCTGCTCTGGCACGAATTCTAAATAAATATATTAAACATAAGATGGCAAAATGTGTTCATATTGCCGACTGACAATAAATATGGGTGTATAATAGGTCAAAGAGGGATTAACATCATGAAGGTCTCTGGTCGGTATATCATTATGAAGTGAGGAGATTTTATTCAAAATTTGAAACAAATCTGCCAATTGATAATTGAGATATTCATGTTTTAAATGTCAATTTATGACTAGAGTCATGCAAACATAATAATGTTAAGCTGCCTTAAAAAAAATTTTTATATCATAATAATATCTATATGAGTTTCTGATAGCCAAAACCATAAAGTTAGGGATAAGAAATTCAATAAAGTTGTTTGTAACATGAATGGGAAATCTTCCTTTGTTCTTTTCCTTGAATAAGCAGATTGTTTTCCCTCTAGTAGATTGGGTGGAGCTTAACCGTGCAATAACTAGACATGTTAAATTTTATTGCACTCTTTTGCTGGTTTACACTAGTTTTAGTAGAAATCACTTAGAGAAGTGGGGTGGATTTTCTGTGCAATAACAACAAGCATGTTGATCAGGTGTCAATGTTACAAGTCATTTATAGCACGCTTCATTCGTTAACAGGTTCAACATCTCGCCCTAAGGCCTTGATGTTCAAACCTGTTAACTCATGAAAGTCGTGCTATAAATATAACCTAATTATCAATGTTGGATTGGCGCATGTGCATTTCAAACAGTCATATCTATTCTTACTATTCACATATTCAATAATTGAAATCAGTAATATTAAGATATTGAATGAAATCCAACATTAATAAATCTATAATGTAGATAAACTTACAATATACAAAGTGTTTTATAAGCCGTGTAATATGGAATTCCAATTCCGGCTCCTTCTTCAAAACTAAGTGTATCTCCTAAGTGAGCAACATATAAAGGACTGGAAACTGTATATTCAGCATAGGTACCAGATCCAGGTGAACATGTGGTAAATACACGATCTCCAACCTATATAAATATAAATAAACATGTACATCATGTAGAACATAGAAAAGGTTAATACTGGCATACCACCAAACATCATTCACCTCCCCCCCTCCAAACCCCCACCCCCACTAACATTAAAGTTGATTCTGTTCTCTTTGACCCGTTCATCTGGATTAATGCTTTCTGTTACAAATGACGCAACATACAAGCCAACAAAAACTGCCATGCTAAATGAGTAGGTAGAGCGGGCGTGAGCAGTCTGATGTTAGTTTCTAAATTACTACATGTACATGTATAGATGTGTTTAGTAGATATTACCGGACCCTTTTCTCTTTCTCCACCCATCTCATGGGAATAATTTTTAATTAGAAAATAATTGGGGATGTAATTTTTATGGTCAGCGAGAAAAAATTAATCTCTTTACTTACCTTAAAGTTTTTAACATTTTTGCCAACTTTTTCTACGACGCCAGCAGCATCAAGGCCGGGTGTGTATGGTAAAGACGGTGGGTTTGGGAAGGTGCCGGTTCTAATATAAGTATCAACTGGATTGATACCTGCTGCCGACACTTTAATCAACAGCTGAAATAAACTAACATTATGAGACTTACATGTATGTCCCCTACTTTAATCACAATATATATAGATGACAATCATTAATTACTTAATTATCTTTCCATAAATTGCATAATGCATGGTTGGTGCAGAAATGGAATGATATAGAATTTAGTTTCCTATTTTTCTGCAGCAAACAGGCTAATAAAAACGGGTATCATGCAGTGTGCTATGAGGGAAATTTTACCAGGACAGTGGTGTTTCCAATCTGTTTAAAACACAGATCCTATTTTGTTTCGTTTTTATAGTTCAAAATTTCGTTTTACTTGTCTTCACAACACTAGGATCTGGAAGGGTTGTTAAATAATACTTAAGAGGCGATCTAGTTGATGCGAGGAATTAGCCAATGTATTGGTCTGTTACTGCGAGTTCTTGGCGTGCTATGCACGGAACATTGGGTAAACCACTAAAAACGGCAACACTGTTTGATTAATCAATGTCTGACGTTATAGGATAAAAAGCCGCTCATATGACCCCTGACACAACCTCCCAGTACAACTGGTCAGATCTCCATGTAGTAGAGCCCATCGTAAGTATAAAAAACAAAACGAAATATAGATCTGTATTTTAATCAGATTGTGGCATTTCGAGCTACTGTGACAGAAGGAATTAAACTAAGTTTTAACTTATCTGTTGTTTGGTTGCAGAAAACAAAAGTTAAATATAAATAGTTTACATTCTAAATAAGTGTCCTTTTCAGTAGATAATCCCCCACCCCACATCAAACAGAATACAGTTTATTCAAAAAATCCACTAACGTCATGAAGACCCCCCGCCTCCCTTCAAAAAAAATCTAAATTATTAATAACGAAAAAAAATTCCACATTGAAGACTAGGGTTTGTATTATTTCTATATTTGCATATAGTCTGTTATTAATTATAAAGTTTCTGGCAGAGCTTCGAAAAGGAAAGGTTATCAAGCAATATAACATAAAGTAGGTATCTGAGAAAATTTTTGTCAGTAAATTCAACCAGCGGCTGCCAGGCAGGATACGCCCAAGAAAGTGATTTTTCCTACAATCAAGGGCCATAATTCAGGAAATTACAATTCGATATGCGCATATATCGAAAGGAACTGAACGAATGGCAGCCATTTTGTCTGTCAATTTTGGGCCGATTTTCACGAAATTCGAACTCAGTCGTCCTCAGGGTGTAACGGTGATATAATAATACGTTTTTTTAAATCGGATAAAAATTATGACCTCTATAGGATCCACAAGCCAAAAAACGCAATTTTTCGTACAATCAGGAATTTACGGTCCGATATGTGCGAATATCGAAAGGAACCAAGATCTTTGGGTTATAAACTTACATTTCAAGTTTCAACAAAATCGGATAAAAATTGTGACCTCTGTAGGGTCCACAACCTTGATATAACATATTCTTATGCTATTCCAGAACGAACGGCGGCCATTTTGTCTGTCAATTTTGGGCCAATTTTCACGAAATTCAATCTCAGTCGTCCTTAGGGTGTAACGGTGATATAATAATACGTTTTTTTAAATCGGATAAAAATTATGACCTCTATAGGGTCCACAAGCTAAAAACGCGATTTTTCGTACAATCAGGGGCCATAATTCAGGAAATTACGGTCCAATATGCGCGAATATCGACAGGAACCGAGATCTTTGGGTTATAGACTTACATTTCAAGTTTCAACAAAATCGGATAAAAATTGTGAACTCTATGGGGTCCACAACCTTGATATACCATTTTCTTACGCTATTTGAGAACGAACGACGGCCATTTTGTCTGTCAATTTTGGGCCGATTTTCAGTCATCCTTAGGGTGTAACGGTGATATAATAGAACGTTTTTTTAAATCGGATAATCGGATAAATTGGGTGTAATGGTGATATAATAATACGTTTTTTTAAATCGGGTAAAAATTATGACTTCTATAGGGTCCACAAGCTAAAAACGTGATTTTTCGTACAATCAGGGGTCATAATTCAGGAAATTACGGTCCGATATGCACGAATATCGAAAGGAACCGAGATCTTTGGGTTATAAACTTACATTTCAAGTTTCAACAAAATCGGATAAAAATTGTGACCCCTATAGGGTCCACAACCTTGATATACCATATTCTTACACTATTTGGGAACGAATGGCGGCCATTTTGTCTGTCAATTTTGTGCTGATTTTCACGAAATTCGAACTCAGTCATCCTTAGGGTGTAACGGTGATATAATAGAACGTTTTTTTAAATCGGATAAAAATTATGACTTCTATAGGGTCCACAATCTAAAAACGTGATTTTTCGTACAATCAGGGGCCATAATTCAGGAAGTTACTGTCCTATATGCGCAAATATCGAAAGGAACTGAGATCTTTGGGTTATAAACTTACATTTCAAGTTTCAACAAAATCGGATAAAATTGTGACCTCTATAGGTTCCACAAGCTAAAAACGTGATTTTTCGTACTAACAGGAGCCATAATCCATGAAGTTTCGTTCAATACATGCCAATATCGAAAGCAGCCGAGATCTTTTGGGGATAAACCTATATTTCAAGTTTCGTCAAAATCGGATAAGAATTGTGACCTGTAGAGAGTCCACAAACAATCTTAGACGGACGTCCGGATGGACAGGGGCGACGGCATAATACGTATAAATATTGATGGCTTACCTCATCTTCAGTGAAGGATGGAATTGGAAGATTATTATCTACAGTCAAAACCTCAGGACCACCAAATTTCTTGACACTAATACCCTTCATTTTTAAGTTTTATTACTTTTTCTTTCTCCAAACTGGATGAAATAAAATAAAATGGGGTTCAACGTCCTACTGTTCTGCTACGACTGGGCTAACCAATACGGGCATACATCATACAATGTGCTATGAGGTAAATTTTGCCCGTACAGCAGCACTATGGCTTACTCTTATATCGAATTCTAACTGCCAGGGCATCTTTTATGTGCACGCCAATGTATATACGGGTCCTCGGTTTTTCGTATCATCCGAACATCTAGACAGCTGCCAGAAAATCCTGATGAACTTTCTCGGCCAATGCAGGGATCGAACACGTGACATCCAGGATAGCAAGCCAGCGTTTACCCAATTAGTCACCATGGCTCCCCAAACTGGATGAAAGATAAATATTTGAGATATGTGTTTCTTTCAATTGTGAAAAAGTATACAATTGATACCACTCAATTTCTCGAGTTTACATAAAATGGAGCCAAAATCTTTCAAGAGTAACCAGAACCCCTCCAGCAAATTTGCATCTTTGGTGCTCGCTTCAAGACCATTACAAACTGCTGGCACATCAATCCTCACCTCTCTATTCAACCACCAAGCATGAAATAATTCACCTGTTATAGATCTTTCCTTATATATTTATTAAAATAATGTTGAGTCATCATTCGCTTGATCATATCTGGTCCGTGGAAAAATTGGTCTACCGTACCAATCTTAAAATATTAACAACATAAATATTTCGAATTGGGGGATGCATATACATGTATCTTATCACTTGTATCAAGTTGTTGATAGCTTGTATATTTTGTTACATTCTGTTTATTTAACCTATATACACCCACCCCCTTCTGATTATACACCCACCCCCTTCTGATTATTATACCAATAAAATATTATCTCAGCACATTATTTGCCTTCATATCTGATAATGAAAACTCTAGAATATTCAAATAACATGTACGAAAGATAAAAGCAATTGAAGGCTGAAATATTGCGTATTGTGAACCGAAAATTATGACATAACAAAACGTAGAAAACAAAAGATTAGACAAACACAGAGACAAAAGGGGGCCACAACCATTGAACAACTCTATATTTTTTCAATATATACTATTCAAAAAAAGTAGGGGATATTTGATTTTTAAGTGTTATTAAAGTCACCTAATGAAACTGACGAAGAAACAAATGACAAAATGAAATGAAGTTCACATTCATCGATTTATTCCAAATGATCATTAGACTAAGTAAGGCACAGACTGACCAGTATAAGGGTAAAATGATACCCGGGGTCAAACAGCAAAGTTACCACAGCATCACAACCAAGTCAGTAACGGGTAAATCCTCCTCTGTTTGCCAAACAAGCATTGATCCGACGTGGCATACTCCTAATGAGACGTCTAAGGTCATTTTGGTCCAGATTGTCCCATTCCTGTTGCAACGCAGCAGCAAGTTCTTGGACATTGGCAGGACGTTGTTGACGTTGACGTAACCTCTGTCCAAGCATGTCCCAGACATGTTCGATGGGGGAGAGGTCGGGACTCAGTGCTGGCCAAGGTAATGTGGTGATGTTCTGTTATTGGAGGTAACCTGTAACGATCCTGGCCCTGTGACATCTTGCGTTGTCATCCTGGAAGATGAAACGGCGGCCATGACGTCGTGCGAACGGCACAACATGGACTGCCAAGATGTTGTCCCGGTAGTACTGGCCTGTAACACGCCCTGCAACAACATGTAAAGCCGTTCTTCCAGCAACAGTGATGCCTCCCCACACCATAACAGAACCACCCCCAAATCGATCATGTCTGATGACGTTAACGTCTTGGAAGCGCTCGTTTCGACGACGCCACACCCTCCTACGTCTGTCCAAAAAATCAACAGTGAATCTTGACTCATCTGAAAACATCACATTGCTCCAGCATCGATTATCCCAGTGTTGACGATCCCTACACCAACGACGTCTTGCCTGAATGTGATGATCTCTCAAACAAGGGATCACGCGAGGACGTCGGGCGCGAAGGTGACCCCTATGCAGTCGATTCCGAATCGTCTGGCCACTCACTCTCACACCAGTGTCTGTTTGAAGACGAGCACTGATCTGATTTGCTGTGATGACATGATTTCTCAAGGCCAAGGTACGGATAAATCGATCCTGGGCTTGAGTTGTCGCCCTTGGTCGACCTGAGCGTGGTCTGTCCTGTACAGATTGTGTATCACGGTATCTGGACCATAGCCTGCTTATGACAGACTGAGAAACATTCATCGTCCGCGCCACAACCGCCTGTGTTGTGCCGATCTGTAGCATGCCAAGGGCACGTAACCTTTCATTTTGGGTAAGCCGACGCATATCAAAATTTGTTTTCTGGTCACTAAAACAATTAAACTGATGTTTCCACCCTGGAATTCAATGCCACAATGACTGTAACATTCAAAGTCAGAGTCGTGCAAATCTTGGGTTGGACCCCCATGATGATCCCAAGCATCACCTGCATTCCATGCGGTAGCTATTGGTGCGTTTGGGCGTCACATGTAACTGGAAATGTTTCTTCTGTTAGGTTCTATAGTGACTTTTTTCGTAGTCATTTGCATATTTTAGTATTATGCCCCCAAAATCAAATATCCCCTACTTTTTTTGAATAGTATATATTGCATTATTATAAGTTGAGTATGAAAATCATTTTCTTCTCTTCTGCCCAGAAACACAAATCTCTGAGAAGCTGGTATCAGTACCCTTGATTTTAACATCCTACCAACAATTTCAAAACTTTACTATGAACATATTTTTTTTTAAGTTTCATGCAATAATTGTATTACACATCTTGTATTTCTATTTCATTTCCTATTGAAATTACATATTATTAGACCTATGTTTTGTTTATTTATTTTCCCTTTTATTTTTATACGCCCACAATTTCATGTGGACGTATATTGTCGTCGGCCCTGTCCGTCTGGACGTCCACAATTTGTTTGTGGACACTCTACAGGTCACAATTCTTATCCGATTTTGATGAAACTTGAAATATAGGTTTATCTCCAAAAGAGCTCGGTTGCTTTCAATAATGTCATGTATCGGATTGAAACTTCATGGATTATGGCCCCTGTTTGTACGAAAAATCACGTTTTTAGCTTGTGGACCCTATAGATGTCACAATTTTTATCCGATTTTGTTGAAACGTAAAATGTATGTTTATAACCCAAAGGTCTCAGTTCCTTTCGATATTCATGCATATCGGACCATAACTTCCTGAATTATGGCCCCTGATTGTACGAAAAATCGCGTTTTTAGCTTGTGGACCCTATAGAGGTCATAATTTTTATCTGATTTAAAAAAAAAACCGTATTATTATATCACTGTTACACCATAAGGATGGCTGAGTTCAAATTTCGTGAAAATCAGCCCAAAACTGACAGACAAAATGGCCGCCCTTGGTTCTCAAATAGCGTAAAAATATGGTATATCAAGGTTGTGGACCCTATAGAGGTCACAATTTTTATCCGATTTTGTTGAAACTTGAAATGTAAGTTTATAACCCAAAGATCTCGGTTCCTTTCGATATTCGCGCATATCGGACCGTAACTTCCTGAATTATGGTCCTTGATTGTAGGAAAAATCACTTTCTTTTTAGCTTGTTCTCTATCTATCTCTCGAAAATGTGGGAGTATCCTGCCTGGCAGCCGCTGGTTTATTTACTAAAAGGGTGTTTCTATACAATGAAGTTTATCTCACATTAATGCAAACCTATCTCAATTTAAAGAATTTATCAAATTGTGTCCAATCAACCGATCCATTCCAAGGACCAGGTCTTATTTTGAAAATACTCAAGATTAAACTGAATTTGAAGGGTATTGGAGTAAGATCACACATACGTTGCTTGGTTCCTCGACAATTCTAGGCTACTAATATTCTAAATATATGCTATGATGTTAAATTAATGAATGTTTGATAGGTGAAGAGGTCTCTTTAAAATTCGTTGACCACTAATCACACAATCATTTTCACTTTAAGTAGAAATTATTGCAACATAATCATTTAAATAACATCATACAAGCAAACGTGATACAATACATGACTGCATTATTTGTTTAAAATGATAAGCTAAGCTAGCCCAACAGACTGGATGTATACATGTGTTTGCATTCTTTGTTTGCTTTGGTTATCTCTATCATTTTCATTACTTTAAACAAACACAATCTGATTAAAATACAGATCTATATTTCGTTTTTTTTATACTTTCGATGGTCTACACTACATAAAGATCTGACAAATTATAGTGGGAGTTCACGTCAAGGGTCATGTCTCTCCTCTGCTATATAATCAAGGGCGTGGATTTCTCATAACTTTTGGGGGGGACGGACGAACCCTGGAACCTTTCATTACCAAACCAAAATAATAATTACAAACAGTTTACCAGTGCTATTTCGATGAAAGTTGTAACTAGGGGTAATATGATGACGATATAGTAAAATTGACTACCTACAATTAAGGAGGAAGATATCTTGAAGATGAATTACTGTGGCGAGACCCAAGGCAGTGGTAAGATAGCCTTCATAACGGGACATTCATGTGGATATAAACCTGAAAATCTGTCCTGGCGATCAAAATCAAGGGGGGGGGGGACAGAGACCTATTCATCCACACCCTTCCGATTTTAAGGGGGGACGGGCCACGCCCATGTATATAATATAAATATTCGGCTTTTGCTAACCTTAATCAAGCTATGCTAGATGCTAGACATTGACAGGCATTACTGGTGAGGCGAGTTAACCCCAAGATAGACTTTGGCAAAAAAGACAAGAATTAATATAATAAAGTCTGTGCATCGGAAAACATTTGGTGATCTGCAACCTGATGATAGCTTGTTTTGGAGTTACCTCCCCTACACAATATTACAGGATTTATTTGAGCACGTTATTTTTGTGCAGGCAGTAGATGATAGTTGCTTTGACAACACTGTCGAGCGCTTTAGTGTCCGAAAGTTGTTAGTTTAACCGTTGCAATAAATCTAACTAAATTGCACGGCTGTGTACCAGTAAGAAAAATAACTTACATCCCCACCGTCAAGCGCACAATACTGGATCTTCACGCACAATACTGGATCTTCAATGAGTTACTTTCTATTTTTCACTCGGCAACCGGCTGCAGATTTCACTCGGCCAACTTCGGTTACTCCTCTACACCAAACCATGTTTCCAAACAGAGTTATCTTTCCGTGACCCGCAAATTATATTTTTAACTGGTTTGCTTTTGGCGCAATATTCTGATGTTTAGGCTAACACTGTTTTTAACGGCGTCAGCTTCTTATATTTATTGGGCTACAAACACTAAACAGTTGTCTTTTATTTTCTGAGGAGATTTTCTGACCTGGGTAATGTAAATGAAGTTTGTTACTTTATAGTAGTTGGCCGAGTGAAATCTGCAGCCGGTTGCCGAGTGAAAAATAGAAAGTAACTCATTGAAGATCCAGTATTGTGCGATCTTCACATGACATTCGGCACAATACTGGATCTTCAAATTCGTGCTAAATATTTTCATACTAACGGTTATCCAGTACCACCTAGATGGCCACAGACCACTAATGATTTCCCCATTGACTTTAATGTTAATTCTTGTTTCGTATACTGGCTCTAACTTTTTCCCAAATTTTCGTTGGGTAGAACACTTTCTACCACAGATGGAGCAACATGTTGCAACCTCTTGCCCAAAAGCATGTATGAGGTTCTTCATGAAAAACTTGCTGGAAGTAGAGACAAGTAAACATGCAATTTTCAGCCCTACCTAACCAACCTCTCAACTCTTGTATCCTTCTGCTCAAAATCATGAATATTCACCAAAACCTGGTAGAAAATGTATTTTCAAAACCTTTTCTTCAATTCTACACCAAAAAGTCAACAAATATCGCCATGCAAAAGGGGGAAAAAGAAAAAGGGAGAGAAAGACTAAAAATAGCTTTGGCCCTTGTTTCGTGTAGGAATATTTGGTAAGTTGTGTCCAGGGCCCAGTTCCTAGAAAATTCTTAAAGTAAGCAAAAAGTCATGCTTCACTTTTTCTTATGTAAGAAACTTTATAAAATACCATCTCTAGAAAATTCTCAAGACCATTCTTACGTAAGCAAAAGTCAAGAATGAGTCAAAGCACATTGTGAATGGTAAATTGAGACTACTATGCTCTCTAACGTCATAAAACAATTTTGGTATGCGAATTACGTCATAAATTGGTCGGTTGCATGAGTTATAAATAGATCAATGACATTAACTTCCTGGCAAATGGTCGATTTAGATGCATTTGACATGTCACCTATACACATATACCAGTGGCTGCCAGGCAGGACACGCCCACATTTTGCTAGAGATGGATAGAGAACAATCTAAATGAAAAGCAATTTTTCGTACAATCAGGGGCCATAATTCAGGAAGTTAAGATCAGATATGCTAAAATATCGAAAGGAACCAAGATCTTTGGGTTATAAACTTACATTTCAAGTTTCATCAAAATCAGAAGAACATTGTCACCTCTAGAGCCAGAGGGTCCACAACCTTGATATACCATATTTTTACGCTATTTGAGTACGAGGGGTGGCCATTTTGTCTGTCAGTTTTGGTCCAATTTTCACGAAATTCGAACTCAGCCGTCCTTAGGGTGAACAGGTGATATATTCAAACGTTTTTTTTAAATCGGATAATAATTGTGACCTCTAGAGGGACCTGAAGCTAAAAAAACGCGATTTTTTGTACAATCAGGGGCCATAATTCAGAAAGTTACAATCCGATATGCGCGAATATAGAAAGGAACCAAGATCAGTGGGTTATAAACTTATATTTCAAGTTTCATCAAAATCAGAAGAACATTGTGACCTATATAGGGTCCACAACCTTGATATACCATATTTTTATGCTATTTGAGAACGAAGGGCGGCCATTTTGTCTGTCAGTTTTGGGCCGATTTTCACGAAATTTGAACTCAGCCATCCTTAGGGTGTAACGGTGAAATACTAAAACGTTTTTTTAAATTGGATAAAAATTATGACCTCTATAGGGTTCACAAGCTAAAAACGCGATTTTTCGTACAATCATGGGCCATAATTCAGGAAGTTACGGTCCGATATGCGCGAATATTGAAAGGAACCGAGATCTTTGGGTTATAAACTTGCATTTCAAGTTTCATCAAAATAGGATTAAAATTGTGACCTCTATAGGGTCCACAACCTTGATATACCATATTTTTACGCTATTTGATAACGAACGGCAGCCATTTTGTCTGTCAGTTTTGGGCCGATTTTTACGAAATTCGAACTCAGCCGTCCTTAGGGTGTAATAGTGATATAATAATATGTTTTTTTTAAATTGGATAAAAATTATGACCTCTATAGGGTCCACAAGCTAAAAACACGATTTTTAGTACAATCAGGGGGCATAATTCAGGAAGTTACGGTCCGATATACGTGAATATCGAAAGGAACCAAGATATTTGGGTTATAAACTTACATTTCAAGTTTCATCAAAATAGGATTAAAATTGTGACCTCTATAGGGTCCACAAGCTAAAAACGTGATTTTTCATACAAACAGGGGCCATAATCCATGAAGTTTCGATCCGATACATGCCAATATCGAAAGCCACCGAGATCTTTTGGAGATAAACCTATATTTCAAGTTTCGGCAAAATCGGATAAGAATTGTGACCTGTAGAGTGTCCACAAACAAATTGTGGATGGCCGTCCGGGCGGACAGGGGCGACGACAATATGTCCACATGAAAATCTGGGCGTATAAAAATAAATAACCCTATCACTCTATCTGCATGTCACATGTGTATAAAAACCTTAACATCGTAAGATGATGCGACTGAACCGCCAGCGTGAGATCTCTAACAATATTTAATAATAACATTGTTTTTGTGACGGATGGAACATGTGCCCTATATGTATTGAATACTGAAACGTTTCTTGATTGTTTTTAGAGCATTTAGGGTTAGACTACTTTTTTATACATTTCACCGATATGGTTACTTGTATAGTTATATTTCGTGTAGCATATAGCAGATCATGATTCATGCTGGCATTGCACAATGATTTCTTTGTACAGCGCAGTGGACGCTTACGGCTAGCCCCCCGGATCCATTCACTTTTTTTTTAATTGTCTGTCTGTTTGTGTTTTCCTGAGTATGATGTCTTGTCCGTGTATTTGTTTTTGTGTAAATTTTGTGTGGTGCAGACTTAGGCCAGACCTAGTGTAGCCGCCAACCCCGAACAGACCGGCTTCGCTCGGGGGTCATTTCGAAACCGGAAGTGGTAGACTAACGCCACCTGGCCTATGTCACTCCCCGGTCCAAGCTACCCCTATACCCCAAATTTCAGACTCGGGGCAGATGTAGCCACCAACCCCGAACAGACAGACTTCGCTCGGGGGTCATAACTCCGAAACCGGAAGTGGTAGACTAACGCCACCTGGCCTATGTTACTCCCCGGTCAGAGCTACCCCTATACCCCAAATTTCAGACTCGGGGCAGACCTAGTGTAGCCGCCAACCCCGAACAGACCGGCTTCGCTCGGGGGTCATAACTCCGAAACCGGAAGTGGTAGACTAACGCCACCTGGCCTATGTTACTCCCCGGTCGGAGCTACCCCTATACCCCAAATTTCAGACTCGGAGCAGACCTAGTGTAGCCGCCAACCCCGAACAGACCGGCTTCGCTCGGGGGTCATAACTCCGAAACCGGAAGTGGTAGACTAACGCCACCTGGCCTATGCTACTCCCCGGTCCGAGCTACCCCTATACCCCAAATTTCAGACTCGGGGCAGACCTAGTGTAGCCGCCAACCCCGAACAGACCGGCTTTGCTCGGGGGTCATAACTCCGAAACCGGAAGTGGTAGACTAACGCCACCTGACCTATGTTACTCCCCGGTCCGAGCCAACCCTATACCCCAAATTTCAGACTCGGGGCAGACCTAGTGTTGCCGCCAACCCCAGACAGACAGACAAACGACAGTTCCAAATATATATATAGATTGTTTCTGTCAAAATTTTTAGAACAATTTGTCTTTTCCGTTAATGCTTTCTTAGCAAGTTAAACAGATTCCCCATTATCAAGTATGTCACTAGGTGTCACTATTAAATCAAAGACCGGGTTCTGTTCAAGCAAGAAATCCCACATAATAGAAAGAAACAGTTTACAGAAAGGAAAATCCAAACAATTAAGTTCACCGCACATGTTGTCGCACAAATTGTATGTCTCTTCTGTGAGTCTGTTCCAAGACATAAAACACTGACTGACAGAGAGGTTTTCACTCAGAAAACCTGGGAATAAGGTTGTCATAGCACTCTGTTAATATCATGCATGTTTATGCAATGTGAATTATGAGTTCAGACAGTCAAAGCATTTCATAATAATCTTTGTCATTATTCAAGAGCCTGATAATTCCATCCAAATCATTTATTGGAGGCATGTATTTGGAGTCTTCACATTTAGAGAGTTCAATATTTGTTGTGTTTTGTTTAATATCATAGTTCCTACATATTACAACAGGCAGACTTTTATTTGGCAAAGACAGATTAATTCTACTACTATTTTGATTTTGTTAAGCCATGAGTACGGTACAATGTAACTCGCTCACCTGTTTTAATTTCCTGAAGTTATACCGTACTGGAAAGATCTTTGAAACCAACTACCGGTACCGTAGTTAAAACAATCACCAAACCAAAAGTCACAAAATCAAAACCACCTTGATGAATTATGAAATAGAAAAAAAAGGCATTTATATATTGATTTATTAAAATATAACTAGACTACCGGTATGAGTCAATTAGACAAAATCTTGAGATCTGCCCCTATCAATTCCGCCTGTTTTGCAAGAGTTGACAGAACTTTTGTATAGTCTGACGCCCCACGACCCACACACCAGTGCCAGTGGTGCTACTAACATAACTAGGCAGTTCAGTATAACCGTGAATATGATAGTGCTGAGACAGTATAAGACAACAGGGGAGTGGAAGAATGATGTTATAATGAAATCGAGCGCCGCAGGCGCGAAAAAATTTCAGATGTGTAACCGAGCTTTTAATTTTTGGGACAGGGCCTGACTATTTTAGTCAATGTCATGGCAAATGGATCCAAATTCTCGTTAACGAGAGGATAAGAAGTGGGATAGAATCTTGAGGCCTATCTGCCAATGTCGCCTGTTTTGTGAGAGTAGAACTAACCATTCTACAGTCTTTTGACCCACGACTCACTCACTAGTGGTACTACTAACTGGGCGATTCACTGTAACTGTGAATATGATAGTGATGAGATATATAAGACAGAGAAGGAGTTGAAGAATGATGGCATAATGGAATTAAGCTCCGATATGTAACTGAGCTTTTAATTTTTGAGGACTGGGCCTGAGGGCACTTTACCTCAATGGGGCGCTTACTTGGTCTCTGAAATGCCCTGGACTTTGGGGAGAGATTTTACAGAATTCTGATGGTCAGAAACCACCCCATTAATTCATTTAGTCTGAGACCGAGTGCGGTGAGCACCCTTTTTTTGAGACCGACTATTTTTTTGCAATGGGGTGAAAAACATTTTTTTCAAACATGATAAGTCGACAAGGTTATTTTATACTAAAG